CCCCCCCACACAATGTACAAGAGTAAGACTTTATTTTCAGCTCTTGTGCAATTGCCTCTATATACCCAAGTTAAGTAAAACATAGATCAGGAGAAAAAAAATTGTTTAAATAAAAATAAATTATGTTATACTGTTAATAAAACATCTACTACATGGCTTGTTTTTTATTTATAATTTGTTAAAATGATATCTTCTAAAAGATTTTGTGGCCATAGATCCACATTTCACTCTTCATGTCCCCCCTACTTTACCAGGACCTCTTGTTAATAATATTTGTCATGTGCCGGGGCTGGAGATGTCAGTGGTTCAAATAATTCCATAGTTAAATACTAACAGGGTGCATCTATACGAGATGCTAACTGCGCAGTAGCCTAATAACACTGCATAATATTGTGCTGTGCAAAACCTGCACTAATACTGTACTGTGCAGTAGTATTAAGCTACTGTCCAGTTAATATACAAAAAACCCATGTGCCAGCACTACTGTGCAGTAGCACATGTTATTGCACATTGATTTAGTCCTTGGTTATCCAAGTACTAAACTTAATGCCCAGTAACAACAATGCATTAATGAACATTTAGACGTGCCCACAGGCAACTATATCATCCTATCCAAACAGTTTTTGCAAGCCATGCATTCTGTTTTTATATTAGATAATATTGGTTAGAACACAGGCTTATTTCTTACAATTTGGGAATCTGAACACTTCCTAGAGCAGTCAGTGTGAAGGGACAGAATGGATACGTGCATCCTTCAGACAAAATGGGCCCCATATGGCTGACAGCTTTGTATGGCTTTCAGGCAAAGGATTAAAAAAATATGCCCCCATTAAATGAAAGAAAAAAACCCAAAACTGCACACTTTAAATTTGCCTTCCAATTTATTTAAAGCAATGAACCATTCACCATCCTAATGTTTTTCCCTTCCCCTCCCAAAGGTCAGCCCCATTCTGGTTTGTTGCAGTCAGGACTCATCAGCTGCTATGTCATGTATCTCACCTTCTCAGCTCTGTCAAGCAAACCACCAGAAACTAGTAAGTTATCCGAAGCTCTTTGGGGCCTCTTGCATCAAAAGTGAGTGTGTATACCTGTAAACTATCACACCATGCAAATCCTACATAGCCATGGGCTTAACACAAAATACAGTAAACTCTCTGGTAACCTCAGACGTGGTGAGAAAAGTGACAACCACTCAATTAACCGGCATATTTTATTATCTGGCATCCCCCATTCCCAGGGGATGCCAGATAACAAAGCTTTTACTGTACTGGTTTTGACAACACCACCATGTATAGAAGAGACTGAAGTAGTATGTAAGCCAGCCCATGTGTGCAGTACCAAGCAGACAAGTCTGTCACTTGATAGCCACACTTTTTTATTGTTTTAATTTGTCACCTTCTTTCTTTTGCCTGGTAGCTCTTGTTCTGTTCTTGGCTACTTTGGTTACCATTATAGTTTAATATCTTTTCTTTTAAAATGGATGTGCAAGGCTGTTAGGAGCATGGAACCAAACCATGCTTTCTAATTTGTGTACCCTTTTCTTTATCATTGGAGAAAAATTGCTCACATTTTTTTTGTGCAAAGAGCACTGACTATATTGCTAGTAGGGGTGCATTGATAGAGATTTTTTTGGGCCAAGACCAACGGTCAATTTTTAATGAGCTACATTGGCTCATACCAATCCGATTGCCGATATGTGGCCCGGCAGCTTGGACAGCAGCATTCAGCTGGTAAGTCTGTTGTGGGGGAAGAGGAGGGGTGTGGGGGGAGCACAATTTGAGGCCCCCATGGTGAGGGAGGGAGTGGGACTGGTGCTGGGGCAGGCACTGCACAGCCAGGGCAAGGTGCAGGATGGAGCCACTGCTTGTCTGGGGTGCGTTGTGGGGAGGGTGGCTCCCACCATTACACATGCCCTCAGAGGGCCTGGGGAGTGTGTGCCCCCCAGATCTGTGCACGGTTTGAGGGCAGGCTGCCACTGCAGGCCGGGGCTGCACCGGGCTCTTTCCAGCAGGGGGGTTGGGTTGGGTAGCACTTGGGGCAGGTGGGGGTGGCACTGGGAGGGAGGCTACAGCGAATTTTGAGTTGGCTGTAGCACATTCTGTAGCCCCCCTTCCAGTGCCACTGCCACCTGGCCCAGCCCCCCTGACAAGAAGAACCCAGCACCACGCACAGATCTGGGGGGCACACGCCCCTGCCATGCCCTCCCTAGGTGTGTGTAGCAGCAGGAGCTGCCTGCCCTGCACCCCTTGGATAAGCCTCAGCTCCATCCCATGCCCCACCCTGCCCTGGCTGTGCAGGACCTGTCCCAGTCCCAGCTCCAGCCCCACTCTGTCCCTCACTGGGGGGGCCTCAGTCCGCACCCTCCCATGCTCCTTCCTTCCCCTCCCTCCCCGCAACACCTCTTCTCCCACAACAGTCTTACCAGCTGGACACTGCTCTCCAGGCTTCCAGGCTGTGCTCATGGCTGCCTGCGTGCTACGCTGTGGTGCATGCATGCAGCATTTTTTGGTGACATTATCGGCCACATCAGCCAAAAAAGCTGATTGACGTTATCAGCAGCTTTCCTTGTATCAGTGCCAATACGGTATGGACCAATGTATCTGTGTATCTCTAATTGCTACAGTTGGTGCTCAGTGATGTCATGGAACAAAAGATTAATCTTAATCCTGATCGGATATATTTAGAGCAGGGGTTGGTGACCCCTGCCACATGTGCCCGAGCATGACTTGCAAGGGCATTATATTTGGCACGCATGCCTCAGGGTGGACAGCCAGGAAGGGGCCCAGGCTGCATTGCCACAACAAGGATCAGGTCCCTCATGGCTCGCCCATCACTTTCCTGGAGGTGCACCTGCCACCAGCAACAAGCTAGGCTGGGGCTCCACAGACCCTGGTGCAGCTGCTTGCAGCCTCCCTACTGCCTGCCATGAGCAGCCTGGGATCTGTGGCAGGCAGCAGGGGCCTGCCTAGAGCCTGGGCCAGTTGTGGTAGGCAGCTGGGAAGCTGCAAGCAGATGCACTGGGGTCCACAGTTCCCTGGACTAGCTTGTTGCTCCTGGCAAGCACACATGCGCCTAGGACAGACAGCGGGAGAGTTGAGGGGCCCGATCCTTGTTGCGGCAGCAGAGCCCAGGCCCCTTCCCTGCCATACACATTGAGGCATGTGTGTGCCTGTCGCTGGTAACAAGCCAGGCTGAGGCTCTGGAGACCCTGGTGCAGCTGCTTCCTTCTCCTAGCCACCTACCTCAGACAGCCCAGGCTTTGGGAAGGCCTCTGTCGCCTGCCATGGAGCCTTGGCCACTCACAGCAGGCAGCAGGGAGGCTGCAAGCAGCTTGACCAGGGTCTGTGGAGCCCTGGCCTGGCTCGTTGGTGACAGGTGAATGTGCACCTTGGGATGGACAGCGGGGAAGGGACCCAGGCTGTGCTGGCACAACGAGGATTGGGCCCCTCAACTCCCCCGCCATCTGCCCCTTGCACACCACATCTTCCAAGGAGAGGTTGCAGGTGTTTTGGTACTGTGCCCAAAAATGTTGCCAACCCCTGTCTTAGAGTTATTGTACTCCTTCATATGTATTTTTAGCTCTACCGCATTAGAAGTCGTATGTACAGAGCTCCCTCACATCCCAAACCCTGATATAGCCTTTCTAACACTAGGCACCCTTTTACACTTGTTTTTAATTCCTTCTTCTTTCTATTGATGATTCTGTACTTGGAGGTTGGCCAGATTGGTGAATCCAGTGAGAAGTGATCTGTTTTCTAAGTGATGGAATAGATTTTTATGATTCAGATTTATTGCACAGAAGTACTTCCTATAATCTTCTCAATGTTAGGTTAGTCTTAGCTCAATTACTAATGCAGCAGTAATTAGAAAAGAAAAAACTATATAAAGAAAGAGACAGTTACCATCTTATCTCTCTAAGCAGTGTCCCAGCAGAAAATGTATGGAATAACACAACTGGTAGGCCTGAAGAGACCCTGAAAAACTTTTGTACTGGCATTATTTAAACAGCTAAAGTGTCTGTGGTGAAAACAGAACTGAATTCAGATTATTTTTGGCTCTAGGGTTTGAAAAAAAAAATTAAAAAAAGAGATGGGGGATTCATGATACTAAAACAACATTTCCAATGTATTCTCATGTGTGTGGTTGTAATCCTGCTCTTTGCTAATGACTAAAACATGAAATATCTGTACAGAGCAACAGTGAAAACAAGCATGGCTTTGCATTTAAAGGGCACATACTTTAACTGAAAGCAGATGCAATTTATAAAGCAAGAGGGCCTATACTCTGGGATATCAAAGGCTATGATGGCATTTTGCCAGCAGTCTGAGGGTAGTACTTTTTATTTGTTTCTATCTTTAAATAAAAATTTCTCATAACCAGTATGCTGGTTCTGTTCTCTGTATGTCATTCCAGGAATAGGCAAGCCATGTCATTGAGCATGTATTTCTTAACCAAACTGCCTTTTGAAGCTCCCCTTTTTTGTGCAGGTTAATTTGCCTCCAACTTCAGAAAGGATATAGTTTGTAAGAACATCTCCAAGTTTTGATGTCACTTGTCTCTCAACTGCAGGTCAGCATTGCTGATAAATCCCCAGCTGCTTTGCTAGTCAGTTCAGCAACTAACACAGGGCCTAAAACCTTTCTTCTCTGCCCCTGTGGGCTAGTAAGGTACTGAAATGTAGTATTTCTTGGAGTAAGAACTAAATCCGGCAAGGTACTGTTAGCTTCCTATCCTAGACAGCCTTTCTTTTAAGAAGAGAGAGAGAAATGAAATCCAAACCGTTCTTACTGATGTCTCAATTAACAAGCCTGGCTTTTTTCTAAATATTTCCTTGAATCCTGACACTGTGTGTAATGTGGACTGAGTTTTAGTAATAGTGTTCATTTTTTTTTTTTATCTTTAAGTCCTGGATGAAAACAATAAGAATATCACAATTTGTGTACCTGAATTTGGCCAAGGGCTGCACAGGGATGAAAACTTGGTTACTGGACTGGGTACTACCATTCTGTTTTGCTGCATTTTATATTCTTGGTACGTATGTTTCCATATGTATCCTACTATAAATGGAATCTTATACTCAAAAAGGCTGAGGTTTGTGTGTGTGTAATGCAAGTAAAACACTAGAAGTTAAAAATGGATAATTCTAGATGCAATTTTCCCCCACAGTCAGAGAAGCTGGAAGCTTTTTCTCAAACGGTCAGCAATGTAATAATTACAGTTTAAGGTGCAGTGAGTTTAACAAGACTAGATTTGTTCATGGTCAGCCAGGTGATGAGCCTGGTAGGCAGAGGGGATAAATCAAAAGCTGGACAGATCCAGAATTTTACATTTTCTATATGTGCATGGAGCATTAGCAGAATCCTGAGTTAACACATTAATGTCATAGATGGATCACTGGCTATATGTTTATTAACCAATCAAAATACTGCTTTACATGTTAAGTATGTTCCCACAATTAGATAGAATTTGATTCCTAAACTATGTTTATTTTTAGGCTCAGTATAACCATAGAATCATAGGATCAATGAGTTGGAAGGGACTTAGACAGATCATCGAGTCCAACCACCAGCCATGGGCAGGAAGGAGCACTGGGTGTGGGAGGGGTCATAAGACCCCAGCCAGGTGCCTATCCAGTCTCCTCTTGAAGATCTCCAGGGAAGGTGAGAGCACCACCTCTCTGGGAAGCCTATTCCAGGCTCTGGCCACCCTTACAGTGAAGTAGTTCTTCCTAATATCTAACCTAAACCTATCCTCCCTCAGCTTGTGGCCATTGTTCCTGGTGACTCCAGGGGGGCCCTGGTGAACAGACTTTCCCCGAGTCCCTGCTGATGGCCCCTGATAAGGTTGTAGGCAGCCACAAGATCCCCCCTCAGTCTCCTCTTGCGGAGACTGAAGAGATTCAGGTCCCTCAGCCTCTCCTCATAGGGCTGGCCA